GCGGACGCCCAAGGTGATAGTTGAGAAGATATGTTATCAACAGAGAGACCTTGCCTGAGCAAACCATGGATTTCCTAGGAGGTAGAAAAATTTTGATACAAAGGGGGCTAATCAAAATTCTGAATACATTCCCAATATCATCATTTTTTTAATTTTTTTATTTTGACAGGGATTAATATAAGCACCAATTTATCAATGTTTATATTGAGAAAGAGTACATATAGGTATTAAAAGACCAAACAAGTGCAGAATGAATACTGAAGTACATTATATACCTGCAATAAAGCATATATTTCAGGAATGCTTTCAATAAGACCCTCTGGCAATAGGATAACCCCATGGTTCTTATCTGTACCAAAGAACAAGGTTAAGTCATGATGGTAGCTCAATCAGAATAATAACCAGAGTATTCAAAGGATTCTACCTTGTTCAGCCCTGGCCTGCACTGCATCACATATTTGTTTTGTGATGTCAAAAAGTGTAAGCTTTGATGCAGCCACCTCTTCAGCAAGAATAACCTGCAAGAGTGCTTGGAATTTTCTAAACAGAAGACAAAAGCAACAAAAGTATCATGTCAAAATTATAATGACAAACGATAGAGATTCACAGACCATATTAGGATGAGATTGGAGAGTGCACTCCAGGGCAACATGTGATGCCTTTCGACCCATGAGTCGGATAAAATAATAATACTGAAACAAAAAGGAAAGGAGGAAGTACGAGAAATAAGAGAGATTATATAGGAAAGACATAGGCTAACAGGTGCAAAACAAAGTTTTCAGGAGCAGCATGGGAACTAAACTTTCTTGTAGGTAAAAAATTTCAAGACTGAAATATTAAAAATTTCCTTGATCCTTCATAAAAAAGTCAACCAACTATTCTATACATAAAATAAGGAACATGCATAGGACTCTTGAAGGAAATCCCAAAAAAGGGAAGGAACAAAAGCTCACTAGTTGAGTCATTTACCTTCTCTGCGGATAGTGCATCAGTGCAGACATTGCTAATAAGCTGGGAATTAACCTTAAATAAGTGGAAGAAACAAGATTAGCTTTCTCCGCAAGCTCATTCGTAATAAAAGAGAAGTGTCAAAACCATTCTTTAATCCTTCCAGTTTAAACAAAAGAAGAAATTAAGAATAGAAAGTTGAGAAAGAGATTAGGACCAGAAAATTGATACCTTACATATCGTGTCGAAACCAACATTGGTCTCTACGAACTGGTTCCTTAGATCTCCATTTAAAGTAACAGGTACACCAACCACCTGAGAAATTCAGACAATCACTTAGCTAACAAATGGTTTATCAATAACACATTCCAAATGGAAGCATCAAAACACTAAAGAAAGCGATCTAATAAGAAAACACTCACGCCTAAGATATGATATTTATTGCATATGATACTAGAAGTACATCTAATTAACCACAAATGTTGCAAGCATGATGTACCTTTGTTGGGCATTTCCTTTCTGCAAATGTTTCTGCAAGCTGAGCAGCATCTGTATTTGACGTCACACCTTCAAAAGCACAACATAAGAAAGTCATAAAATGAAACAGAGATCCTTCATAATCATGAACCTTAAATCACAGATACCTCCAATAATCACAAGACCATCCAACTTCAAATTTGTGCATGCATTGAGTGCGGCGTTAACTTGCTCAGTTGTTCTAATTTGATCCTGTGTCCTTCCAAGTAAATCATAACCGCCTTCAAAAGATAAGTTTAATTAAAAATATTATTTAAATTATGAAAACAAATATATATTTCAACTTTGCATGTAATCCAAGCATACCTTGATTTTTGTAGGTTGCAAGGACGTCATCAGTGACCTCTAAAGTTTTCTGAGCAAATAAACCTTCAGAACCACCTGGTAACACGTATAACAATTTTAAAATGTTAATCTTTTTTGAAAGAACATCAATCATCTACCCAAGAGAAGTGACCAATGTTCATGAAAATATCCAATTGTTTAAAACAACATAATGTAACAGAAAACAATTAATTGGTAAGGAATCACAGAACAGACTCCTTCACCAGACAGAGGATAACCAGAAAACCCAAACTTTGTAGATTTAGGTTAAGGATATTTAATGCATGCATAAGGTTCCAAGCATAAAATATCTAGAGGATAATAAAGAAACATTAGAAGGGATCATTACCCAAAAAACCAAGCAAAGTACTCTTGGGATTGTGAACTTTTAGAGCGTCGAGGAGACCCCAAACGACGTTATGTCCTCCGGGAGATTGTCTTCCACAAAAAACAACTCCCACTCTGAGAAGGAGGAAGAAGTGTAAGCATATGCAAATTTCTACTTTTACAGATATCGAATTTAATTAGCACTCTTGATAAAAGTAAAGTCAGACTCAAGCCTTGCCAAGCATAAATTGAGGTGCAAACATCACTTGATATCAAATTTTGATATCACGAATCAGTTCCACGAACAGGAAGTGATAGTAATATATCATAATAATGAAATGCCTACCTGATTGCTGGGTGTTCAGTGATTATGCGGGCATCAGGGACCTTGGCAGTTTCCCTCATAAAGTGTGCTAAAGGTTGACCAAAAGTGTGGGGAAATGACCTACTTATTGTATGGGCACCTGAGGGGTCTGCGGCTGTCGTTGCATCGCCAAACTCTACGCGGACGGTAATTCCCTGTCCAAGTCAGGAGAAAAGGTTAGCACCATAAATCTGTGTATGAAGTTAAATTACAAGGAATTTTTTTTGCTTGTGAAATGAATCAGATCGGCGAACAATCTTGTTCAGTAGGCTTGAGAAAAAAAATTAAATTTTGTCTGCGGGCACAATATAGAGCAAATTGATCTTCAAGTTCAAATGTAAACTAATAGTTATTCTCAACAGAATAAGATTAATCTGAAGAAATTAATGCTGAGATCCCAAGGAAAAAACTGCAATTTTCTCTTATACAGGATAATATTTGGGATGCCGAACGGCATAAATTTGAAATTAGTACTCCATAGCACATACACGTTGTGATGAAACCAAAACTTGATTATTGTCGCTGAATTTCCTCGAGTCATTCCACCTCAATTTAAGCAAACATGCTAAAAGAAATTACAAACAGTGAATTTTCTATAGTTCTTCCAAATTTGTTAAATTTCAAGTTTAAGCTTAAATGAAGCATATCCAAATACTACAATCTAATAATCCTACGAATCGGTAATGAAATGGTTTCTTATTCTTCCGAATTTCAGTTCTTGGCAAAAAGGAAAAAGTGGTCCACGAATATTCAATTAGGTGATATAAAAGAAAACAAAGAAAGACACAAAACATCAACAGACAAAATAACAGGGTACACGTGATCTACCACGTCAGATCTATTCTCCTGGACGTTAGCATGTATATCAAAAAATCAAAATATATTCAATAAAAGAGCGAAGAATCACAATCCGGAATAAAAACAATCTGAAAATCAATTTGTATACAATACCTGAAGACAGGGAGGGAGTTGAGGTTGATACTGAGATCGAAGTTTTTGCAGATCAGAAAGTTCTCTTGGAATACCGAAATCTGAATCCATCTCTTCGTGCGTTTTGCGATTTCACCTACTACTCACACAAGGGCGCACTGTTTTACTCTCTTTACTTTCTCTCACTGCAACGAAAAAGGCCATTTATAGTGTGTGAAGTGGCGATACAACCAACGAACTCGCTAGTTTAACCCTCTACCAATATAACAATGATTGCCCTCCTATTTTCTTAAATTACTATTTGCCCCTTCTTAAATTTTCTAATAACGAAAATGTCCTTATTTTCAAATGTCTCGCCTTTTTTATTTTTTACCTTTAAATTCTGCATATTCAATTTTATTACACTTGAGTTTCACGAACATCTTCTTTTTCTGGGTCGTTACTCATTTTCCTTGACATTTGATCATCAATTTTAATATCTTAACATCTAAGTCTCCACTTACAAATGAGTCTATAAAACTATTAACTCATTGAGCGTTTAACTGAATCAATTAACAATTTATATCAATTATCTACTAATTTAGAGGCTATATTTTGGCACGAAAAAGGGATATTATATTTCCTTAACTTATTTGGGAATTTTGAATGAATATACTGTAAACAAACACCAAAGCGCACTAGGATCTTCTCTTGGAATATGCCAATTAAGCTTTATGTTTGAGAATTGAGACCCTTACCTGACCTGCTTCGGGTTCACCTAACCCATATTTGAGTTGGGTCGATATTCTAAACAGTCCGCTAAAAGGTATGAATCATTTCGAATTTAGTGACGAGCCAGGCATAACATTTTCTTATTGCCCATCCCGAGGTGGGATGAACTGGGATGGTCGAACATTCAAATTTTATTTATTCTTTTGGCCAAGCCGACATACTATTGCCAAGTTCAACAGGGTCTACTTTGACACCACTACACGACATCAAAATTCACATAAGACATTCGATCTTACCAGAATTGTTCTCTTGCCCACGATGGGCAGCAAGTCAGCCGTCATTGTCGACGATTCAACTTGCTGACTTGCACGTACCGATCTTACACAAGTAAAAATGTCACCTGAACAATATGTTGCTATTATTACAGCATTAGGCGCAGGCAAAGCAAAGAGAATTTCAAATCTATCATCTTCTCACCTTCATTAGAGAGAACTGATGATGTACTCTCACACTGCCTGCAAACGATGTGTGTTCATCTGAGGGAGAGGAGCATCATTCGAGAAATAAGACATAATTTGACATTAAAAACCACCATCTAGCAAACCAGGGGGATAATACATTACTTAAGAACACCATATATAGTGCTCAGTCCATATGAGACTAGTACTTAGCTCTAAAGATAATAAGGAATTTGTCAATAGTAGAACTCCGAAACCTGGTGCTCTCTCAGCAACCTATACTTATTATTTTAACTAGTTCTTTTTATGTCGGGAAGTGATGAGGTTGATAGAAAAGAGGGAGAAAGAGGATTGCATGAGCGAAACCAACCAAGAACTATTGACAAAAAGACATTTCTAAGTCACACGAAGACTAATAGAGCTGTAAATCGCAATTTGATCCTTGATCTTGAAGCTTTGCATCTCTTGCCAATCATATAAGATTGAAATCCAGGAACCCTGAAAACCTCAATTCCCCTCTTTCTTGGAGCGACCTTTCCCTGCTTTTCGCTGTCTACGATTCCCACTAGAACTGCTTCTAGAGTTGATTTGAGCTGGCCCTGTAGAATCAGCAGGCATATGATGCCTAGGAACCAAAGCAGGGAACCCAACAGCAGGGATTCTGCAAAATTATACATTCAGCATCAGTTCCCATTCTTATAATTGGGGTCCAAAAATTAAGACAGAAAAACAGAAAAAAGAAGAAAGCAGAAACTAACAGAGTATCAAGTTACCAACAAAATGTTTAGTCAAGATGATACTGAGATGGGTGATAGGCACCGCCAAGCTTGTTCCAGTTAATTGTTAGTTTTTTTAGGGTTATTATGGGGATTTAGAAGAACAAATGTTAGGCAGATATCTATAAAATGGGGGGTAACGGTGTTCATTTTTATGGGGTTTATTATGGGGATTTAGAAGAATAAATGTTAGGCAGATATCAATAAAATGTGGGCTAACGGTGTTCATTGTTGGGCAGAAAATGGGTATTTGGTGGGAAAGAGCCACCCTCTAGAAAGTTTGGCAAAACTATTGTACTTTCATTTCTGCAATTTCCACAATTTCACTACAAATTTCATATACATATTACGCCCCTGTTTGGGCTCCATTAAAAACAAATTTTGGGGAGAAAGTATTTTAAAATAATGATTTTTTGGGAGAATATATTGTTAAAAAATAAGGAAAAGTTTTTATTATGGACAGCGAGAGTTATTTCTTTCATAATCGTTGACCTCTTGACAATGGATTCTGAGCAAATAATTCTCAATGTGAAAACACAGAACCAAGGGGCAGCCTCAGCCTGTGGCATATTAGCAGCCATTTCCAGACTACGAATTCGCCAATTAAGAGAGGGGCGTGGGTTTACATGTGATATTATTTTATTATAAAATATACTATTGAAAATAAGAGAGGAAAAAATGTATTTTTAAAAATAATGGATCCCAAACCAGGGCTACATAAAAAGACTGGGATATATCATAGGGCAATCAAACAACAAAGCAATTGCCTACTTTATATTGCTAAAGGAGGCTCCACTATGGGTACTATCTAATCATCAATGGATAGGCTATTCTTGGTTATGAAAAAAGTGTGGGAGCAAAACTAGACAGGTCAAGACTAACATCCGAAGAATATGCATGTACTTCATTTAACTAACAGCAACTAAGAAGATAAAAAATAAAAACCATGGCAATGTGACTCAAAACCATAACCGAAGGTTAGCCGCAAGACATCATAAATCAATTTATAGAGAAATTAGACCGGATAAATGGTGGCAATAGGTTAGTCACTATCATAATCAAAAGGTCCATTCGTGAAAATAACGAGACCATAAAATTTATAAGAATGATAGATAGCAATTTGCTTAAATAAGCAAGACAAGAAATAGTAACTTCTGTCATTTACGAAGAAAGACTCTCCGTAGTTCTTTTGAATCCCAGCCTGGTTTTTCTCCACTAATTAATTAACTTATGACCAAAGACCGATTAACAAACTTAAAAGAAACAAAAAGGAGAGCTAGAAAGATTAGTCATTACCCAACAAGAGCACAGCAGACTCCTGCCTGGTCACGGAAGCATCAAAGGCCTTGTTGTGCAGGGAAAGGCGTAAAGTTTGATTCTCGGCGAGACAGCACTGAAGTAACATCCCGAGCCTCTTGCATTCTGCTTCATAGTACTTACTCTTCATCTCGAGATCTCTCACATACATTTTCTTCCTCTCTCGTGATTTGACTGCAGCATCCCTATTCCGGATTTGCCTGACAGTATAGACATAAACTTATTTAATCATGTAATACCAAAAAAAAAAGAGCATTTTATTTAAGAGGGCTAAAACAAATTTTCTAGTGAGACCTTTTTACTGAGAAATTACAGAAAAAGTATTTAGTTCCATCCTCTTTATGAAAAACATAATGACTAGAAATATTCTGATTCTTCTATTCTTTTACAATTGTCTTGTCTACTGCTCCAGATTTCTCTACATTGTTCGAGGTGCCATCACATCTGGGGTAATCGCACTTGAAAATAGATTGGCAGATCAGAGGTAACAGCCGTGTGGATTGATAGTGAGCCAACTGAATCGAATGCTCTACAATGGAATGATACTAAATTACGTAGCATGAGTTATTGATGGTGTTTTAATTTATTTATTCCACTGTATGATTAATGTTTGACTGGACAGTTGCATTAATTTTTGAAATCAATACAGCTGGATATTGTGTATTAGTCCAGAATTATTTCAAAAAGTTCACTACAAGTGAAAATATTATGGAAAAATATCCTAATTTATGTGATAACCATTCATGTATAGTTCAAAATTTTCACTTGTAAAGAATTTTTCGCACCCACCATATCAATGTATTATCATTTAACAAAAAAGGTTGACTACTAGACCATTAATTTCTTATGCTAAATATTAAGCTAAACTGGCTCTGGCTGGAATTATTTAAATTGTTACCCTTAGAGGGTGTTCGATGTTTTCAGCTCGCAATCAAATTAGGTACCCTCACACCAACCTTCCAGTCAATTTCTCAAGTGCTATAATACGAGATCTATGGACACTTTATTTATTGCTGAAAAGCTGGAGCAGTGCATATGATAATTAAAGCACCAAGAATAGGAAATAAAGAAAAGAATATCCACATTTACTAATTTTTTCTCACTGGGGAACTAATATATATTTGCATTAGTAAAAATCTCACATGAGAGAATATCCTTGTGCTCTGAAAAGAATTTTCAATTTTGTTCACAAAATTATATGTAACTTTAATCAGCCTTTCATACAAATCAAATTGGATTTCCAGGTCGCATAGGTATTCAACTTATCTAGCCCCTGTTTGATGGCCATTATTTGGGAAAAACAATATTTTGAACAATGAATTTTAGGAAAATAAGTTGTTAAAAAGTAAGAAAATTTTTGGGTTTACGTGCAGAATATTTTATTGTGTGAATGTGTGGTTGAAAATGAAGTAGAAAGAGCTCAGTGTATTATCATCAGCACAATTGGAGTTTACAATTTTGATTCCACGCATGAGTCCATTTTGGACTCTCGAGCAGAGTCCAAAAATGGGACTCTACTATAGAAGTGAAAAGGAAAAACAGACTTTGGTGCTTAATGTTCCTAGCCAAACATGTTATAAATACAACTAAAATCTACAGTTTCAATGATCAGCACAAATTGGAGAGCCCAATTTGGACTTCATGTAGGAGTCCATTTCGGACTTCCAGGACCAGCAAAGTTTCTGAGTGATGAAAAAAAAATTCTGATTCCTAACCAGACCTGTTGTAAATACAACTACAATCTACAGTCCAACTCAACAAAGTCTCTTACAAATACAATCTGTTAAATTGCTATTTATGTCTTTTAAGGGACATTATTGATCAAAGTAGCAAATGAAAATGCAAGCAAAATGTACATTGTTTATTAAAAATATGTGAATACGAAAAACCAATATATATTTATCATGTATAAATTATAATTAAATTAATTAACATGTACAAACTTGTTAATTCATTCATGTTGTGTCCCGAATCTTTAAACATTCCGAGTGTCAGTGCTTAACACTTAGCGTACACAAGTCACTTATAGGGCAATTCAAGCATGTTTGGCTGAGCCTTAATCAAAGGTACTATTAAGGGTTCTAAACACACGCCTTTATCTCAAATAGGATTTCTTATTTTTGAAGTTATAGACTTGTACTAGGTTTCAATTTTACTAGTTCATTAAAGGTGGCTCACAGTCACCGGGAGCATGTCTTGGAGCTCAGGTCAGCAACCTCTTCGAGAGCTTGGTCAAAACTCAAGGTTCATATTAAGGGAAGCAGAAAGGGAGCAGCCCTCGGATCATCCACGGTTTTCTTCAAAAGAAGTAAAGCAGTTTTTTTTTTCTTTTCTAGTCTTAGCCAAGTATGCTTGTGGAATTCTCATAAACTTACTAATCATTTATTGAGGTTGTAATTTTATTTCATATACAGGGCAATTCAAAAATCTTCACAAAAAAAATTTGAGAGTATGCAATCAACAAATTGAAATTAGGAAAAAAAAAATACCTCTTCTTTTTTTTGGCAATGGGATCATCATCATCTACAACATCAACAACGTTATGTTCCGCCGGCGGAACATCCGCCTGATTCTCCTGGCCCTTCTCCTCCAAATTCTTGGCTTTTGGAACATCAATCACTTCACCAGCCTGATCCCAACCAGACACTGCAGGCGAATCCAAAAGCACATCCGACAAAAACTCACCGGCGTCAAACAATTCCTCTTGATTAGAATTATCGTTCAATTGAAACTGCTCGATCGGCAGCGACCCCAAATCGGGAGAAGAATTAGGGTATAATTCATCGGCGGCGGTCTCATCAAAGATATGAAAATTTACATGGTCCCAATCGACTTGTTCATCTTCTATCGCCCCATATTCGATCATCGTCAATATTATCAACGGAAAAATAAAATTAAAGAAGACACAGAGACATGTTTTCCGTTTTTAATGGATGAGGAAGATGGTGCACGGTGTCTGCGTTGTATCTGATCACTAATTATACGAACAACGTCATTCGGCCAATCAGAACGCGAACATTTCAAAATGTAAGGGCATCTCCATCCTGCACCAGAATTTCCGATAAACTTTACATCATGAATCATCTCTAATCCATTCCATTGCACCAAATGAACAGTTTATTTATCTGATAAATTATTTATATATTTAATTTACTGTTACATAAATAACTAAATAAATAATTATATTTTGTTAACGAAAATATTGAATTTATTAATAACATTTAAAAATATAGTATAATTAATAGAAATACCACAACTAAGAAAATATTAATTCATATTACTCTCTCTTTCCAATAAAAATAGTGTTGTTTTCTTTTTTTTTCATCTGTTCCAAATAGTGTTGTATTCTTATTGGAAAGTATATTTAATATATTAATTTTCTAATATGCCCATATTTAACGTGCTTTGTTATCACAAATATAAATCACTTCATTATTCAATTGTATTGGATGACGTTTGGAATGTTAATTACCTTAATTCTTGCATTAAACAATAATTAGTACAAACAATAGTTTAATTACCTTGAATATTGCATGCATAATTTAATTACCTTGAATGTTGATTACATTAACGTGGGGGTATATTAGGAAAAATGATAGTAAAATTTATTATTTCAACTATATTAACTAATTTTTCTTATTATGTCTTCTATATATTAAAAGTGGCTATGTAATGGAATTTCTTGTTTATAACGAAAAAACTATCGGAATTTGTTGTTTTAACGGATTATGTAACGGAATTTCTTGTTTTAAACAGGTAGNTCTGTTCCAAATAGTGTTGTATTCTTATTGGAAAGTATATTTAATATATTAATTTTCTAATATGTCCATATTTAACGTGCTTTGTTATCACAAATATAAATCACTTCATTATTCAATTGTAGTTGATGACTTTTGGAATGTTAATTACATTAATTCTTGCATTAAACAATAATTAGTACAAAAAATAGTTTAATTACCTTGAATATTACATGCATAATTTAATTACCTTGAATATTGATTACATTAATGTGGGGGTATATTAGAAAAAATGATAGTAAAATTTATTATTTCAACTATATTAACTAAATTTTCTTATTCTGTGTTAAAAAAATAGGACTATCTTTATGTGACAATAGAGTATTAAAAAAAACAACTTAATACGTTTTGAATACAAAGTCGAACTAGTGTTATAATTTAATTTTCGAAATTCGTATATTCATCACACAAATGTTAAATTAATACATTTCGAAGTAAAAAGTCGAACTAATAATAATGATAATAAATTAAAAGTGAAAATTTGTTGTATAACAAAAAAAAAATGAACACAAATATCCTTAAAAAAAATTGATATAAAATAGAAAAGAATGGCAAAAAGGACTTTAACCAGTTTGCACAAAAACTGTGCAAATTATGATGTTGGATTGGAGAGTGATTGCACCAAAATTTTGGTGCAAAATAGTGAAATTTGGTGAAATGGTGTTAAAGCCCTAATCAAAAAGCATGTAGAATGAGGTTTATTAAGATTAGGAATAATTTCAATTCTTATGTAGTTTTTATCATTTAAGTTACATATGGGAGTAGCAAAAACTCAAACCGGAAGAAAGTTTGTCGACATCTTCTCTTACTTTGAAACATTATTATACTCCGATTTGGTTTAGATAAATATTGATGGAATATATAATTAAAAAGTTATAAATTCCATTAAATATGCGATTAAAATTATTTGTTAATTTAAATTTTAATCATTTTTTAATTGAACCAAACAGAACCTACATATGAAGGGTCGTATTCACATTTACTTCCTATTATTATTATTACAAAGGGGGATTGACATGGGATTAATAAATGACTCTTGAAAACCTAAATGCTAACATAGAATTAATAAAAAGCTTTGCATCATATCTATAGGGGAGATACTATTTAGCACAAGCCAATAATCTCTCATTTAAGCTCATGGAGATGTATATAATTTTCAATTTTGTTAACTATTATTTATCAAAACAGTGCTTGGCAATTTTATGTAGTTGTTCAGAATTAGAAACCCGTATAAATCCATCCTTTTTTTGTTGTATTCGACTAAATACCATGTCCTATTTGTACAAATAAAGTTCCAATTCATTTTCTTCACTTTTTGCACTTTTGAAAGCAAGAAACGAGAATAAAACAAAAGATGAAATATAAATCTGTTTCGCGCGGATAGTCGCTAACAATTAAAAAAAAAATTCAGACGATTAT